AAGGAATTGGGCTGAAATAGCACAAACAGATGTACTCAAAGTTCTTGTAAGCATGGAATGGAAGCCACCAGCATGGAACAAACTAAAACTGAATTTCGATGGGAGTTCTCTTGGCAACCCTGGGAAGGGCAGGCATAGGGGGTGTGTTTAGAAATTATCTGGGTGTGGTGGTGGCACTCTACTCTGGACCAATAGGTTATGGTGACTCGATACAGGCTGAATCTCTWGCCCTACTTCAAGGTCTAAAGATGGCTGAGCAGATAGGAACAATAGACTTAGAAATTGAAGGAAACTCTCTATTGGTCATCTCTTGGGCCAAAAACATCACATCAACACCTTGGAAGCTCAAGTTTATTTTCAGAGAAATTGACACACTTGCAAGGAAGTTCAACTCTTAGTTTGGTTGGGTTAAAAGGGATGCAAATGGGATGGCGGATACCCTAGCAAAACAAGGGGCAAGTAGATTTTCATTGTACTGGGCAGAATTGTAACTGATTGCTAGACATTGCAATTTCCTATGCAATCTTTAGCTATTGTATCTTAATCTCTTTGTTATTAATGAAAGTTTTTTACTGATAAAAAAAAAAAATATTAGCATTGCTATGGGATTAAATTAATGAAAACAAATTTCAAAAGCGTTTATAAAAAACAAATTTCAAACTTTGTATTGTTTTATATTACTTTTACCTATTTCTTAAATTTATTAACTTTATTATTGTTAGATAATTTTGTATTAATTTTAAATGAATTTTGAATGGATATTAGTTTTTAATTTATTTTATTAATTTTTATTAATTTATTTAATTTTACTATGTTTAATTAATTTTCATTATTTTCAAATGGAATGTAAATGGATTATAACTTTTATGATATTTTATTTGTAGTAATTAATTTTAAATTTTCTTACCGGATAGTTTTAAAATGTGATATTTTTCTTATATATAATTAATTAAAATTTGTTAATAGTTATACATTTTTGTTAATAATTGTAATTAAATAGAAATATATTAGTGAATTTTAAATTATAATTTTAAGTCTAAAATGGAATTTAAATGGGTTATAATTATAATTAAATGCAATTTTATATTTCAAATTTTTATAATTATTGAGTAAAGTAAATAATATTTATTCTGAAATGTAATTTACTTGATTAATTAACTTAAAAATTAATTATCTTTTAAATGGAAGTAGGTTACTTAGCATTGATAAAAAAAGGTAGGTTATTTTACCTAATAATCTACCATGGGTTATAAATTATAAGTAAATGGAATTTTTTATTTTATTATGAAGTAAATAATAATTATATTAAGCTATTTCAATGTAATTATGTTAATTATATTATAAATTATGACTTGATAGAATTTAATTTTTTGTGGAGGGGTTGGGAAGAGGATAAGAAAATTCACCTGGTTAATTGGGATCAGGTCTGTTTGCCTGTAAAAGGAGGGCTGGGAGTAAGAAAACTAAAGACTTTTAATTCTGCCCTCCTAAGTAAGTGGATTTGGAGATTTGGCTCTGAAAGAGATGCACGGTGGAGATCTCTTTAGCTGCTAAATATGGTGTGGACTGGGGTAACTGCAAATCCTTGGACCCCCTTCAGACGTGGGGCTGTTCCCTGTGGAAGGGTATTATGAAAGGTTTCCCCTCTTTTTCAGAAGGTCTGGAATATAAAGTTGGAGATGGTAAGAGGCTGAAATTCTGGAAGGACCCCTGGCTCTTTAACAGCCTCCTTGCTGAGGTCATTCCTAACCTCTGTCAGTGTGCCTCCTGCCCTGATGCATCAGTCCTTGACTCTTTTGAGTGGGTGGATGGTTGTGCTGTTTGGTGTCCCCTCTTTAGAAGGAACCTCCATGACTGGGAACTGGAGCAGCTGCTGGAGTTATTACAGCTGTTGCAAAATCAGCATATTTCTGTTAATATGGAAGATGAATAGAAGTGGAAGTGGAGTGGAGATGGTTGCTTCTCAGTCAAATCTATGCTGAAAAACTAAGTCAAGGTTCTAATATGGGGTTCCCTAGTAAGCAGATTTGGGTTTCTACTAGTCCCTCTAAGGCAAATTTTCTTGTCTGGGTGCTGGCTCTAGACAAATGTCTGTCAAAACTCAAAAACTACTTTGATTAGGTGCGGGGTTCAGATTCCTGATCTGAACTGTGGGTTGTGTGGCACTGTGGCTTGGTTCAAGAATCTGGTGATCATCTTTGCATCCATTGCCCCATGTCTGCTAAGCTATGGGAGCACTTCATCAAGTCAGCCGGCATCAGCTGGGTTATGCCTTGGTCTGTCAAGGAGGTGCTGTGCAGTTGGAAGCTTTCTGGTCTGAGTAAAAAAGGGAAGCTAGTCTGGAAAACAATTCCTGCAGTTATCCTGGTCTCTGTGTGGTCTGAAAGGAACAGTCGTGTTTTCTGCAACAAAACTAAAGCCCCTGAAGACCTGCTTAAGACTGCTGTCAACAGACTTGCTTCATGGTTATCTGTAATTTCAGACTTTAAAAACCAGAATGTATTTCAGTTTCTTGAATCTCATCCCATTTGGACTTTGTAAAATAGTGGTCTTCCTGGTGTTTTTCCACTAGGTTGCTGTTGTATTGTATCTTCTCTCATCAATAAAATTCTACATTACCTTTTCAAAAAAAATTATGACTAAATATAAATATATCTAATGGATTTAAAATTATAATTAAATTGAAATAGATATAGATATAGATAGAGTTAATGAATTTTAAGAAATCTAATGGAGTAAATGAGAGGAGAGAGAATTAGTGGCATGAGTTATTGCAGGAGAAAGAGTTTATGGCATGATTAATGAGTAGAGATAATTGGAGGAGTTTATGAGAAAGAGCAGAGAAAGTTAATGATGAATTAACGAGGAGAAATAATGGGAAAAGTCTTAAAGTTGATTGGTTACTTGAGTTATTTTGTTCAATTTTAAAAATAGAAAAATTCAAAAAACCAGAAAAGGCATGGACATCCTTGTGCTTCAAGTTGTAATGGTATTTGTTACTTTTCATGTCACCTATATTATTTTTATTTGGAAAGTTTGTATGTTATTGTATTTTAAGTTGTGTTGGGCATCTTATAGTTTTTCTTTCGTAGCATCTTTGAACATGCCATTATTCACCTTTAGTGACGTTACATCTACATTTTTCTTCATTTCCTATTCTACTAAAACCTAAATCCATTTATGTTTGCAGTCGAACATTTTTGTCAATCATTGGTGGTGTAATTGCTGGCATTTTGGGATATACTGGCTTGACTGGATTTGTCTTCTATTTCCTTATCATGGCCATTACTTCTCTGGGACTTGCAGCAAAGGCAAAATTCTCCATTCATTCATACTTTGATTGCTGGAATAGACTCCTACTTGATGGGTTTCTTGGCGGGCTTTTGGTATGTATGGCTCTTTTTAATGGGAGTTGTGATTAACTTTTAGGTTGTTATTTATTGTATCCTTTTTTTAACCATTGTTATATAATATTTAGCTTTTGTTTACTGATAAAAATTGTAGCTTTTGTTGGTACATTTATATATTGTGGTATTTAGTATGCACCGCATCCCCCCCATGATTTAATTGACTGCAAAAAGTAACACATCTATCTTGTTGAAGTCCAGTCCTGCATGGCATTCTCATCATTGGGATTGGGAGTGGTTTTTATTTCATTCAATAAACAAACTTGTTCAAACAGAGTGATATTTAACATTCAAGACTCAGAACAATATTCCCTCCAAATCTTCACCCTCACATTGCACGTTGTATCTAAATTCTTGTAAGAGGCAATTAGAGCTGAACCAAAACAAGTAATAATTGACAAAAAACTGAAGAGAAGAATGAAAGAAACAAGCTCGGAGAAAGAGAAGAGGGAGATGGAGAAGAGAGTTAATCGATCCTCTATCTAGTCCCCTAAATTCTTTTATTAGATCTAATATGAAATAAAGGGGCAAATACATAGATGCCCTCAGTAGGGCAGCTAACTTAAACACCATAAAGAATAACTAATGGCAGGCCCATAACAATGAGGCCCACTAAGCTACAAGAGGACCTAATAAAAGAATAAAAAGAAGGGAAATTGTCTAAAACTCACCATGAGTTTTCAGCATTTCTCTTAAACTCACCACAACTTTTCAAAATGTCTAAAACTCACCATGTCACTAACTTGAGGTTAAAGAGACTAACGGGTGAAAAATATAAAATATATCCAAAATAAATTAGTGGGTGTTAGTAATATATACAAAATAAATTAGCGGGTGTTAGT